TGAGTGATGTGGGAGGGCCCAGCCCACTGTGGGTGGTGCCACCCCTGGGCAGGTGGGCCTGTGTTGCATAAGAAAGCAGGCGAGCAGGGGCCAGGGGAGCAAGCCACTAAGCAGGACACAAGCTCAACAAATGGTACTTGGTTAAAGTCACCAAGTTTGGGAATAGTTGTTACACAGTAAGAGCTAACTAACCAATACACATTTTTGCTATTGACTCGCCTTTCCACTTGAATACTTCAACTCCGTATATACATTTTTCTCTGTGATAACAGAATGCTTTCTCTAAGATATATTAAGAAAACTGTATACTTTTTAAACACAAATACCCCTGTATTTGAAGAAAGTCCACTTACAGGAATCTCATGGAATAAGAATAATTCATTTTCCTCAGTTAAAGAAACTGAGGTTCAAAAAGGTGATAGACCAGGGACTCAATGCCAACTTGTGTGAGACAAAGGTGCAGAGTTATCTCCAACCACGTGCCTCCTTCCCACCAGAGACAGGGTCTCCCACAGCAAGGTGAGGGGCTGTCCCACCCATGCCCCTCCTCCGAATGAGATGGCCTTACTCCCAGAACTCGATGACAGGTGAGGTGAAGTTGGAGGTGCTGAGAGAGATCCAGAGACTCTTGTTCCTACGCAGTGTGTCTTCCATGCAGTATGGTGTATTCCAGCTATGGTTGCAGTGGGCCCAGGGAAGCTCCTTCTGGAAGGACTGGAACAGGTAGTATGTGGCCCAGGCCAGAATAACGATGTAGTACACATTCAGGAGGGACACAATGACAATGGATGCATAGCCAATGCCTGCAGGTAGGGTAAGCAAATAGGGCACATGTCACAAAGGAGGCACATTCATCTGGGACGCCCTGATGTGCCCAGTCTGCAAGCCAAATGAGCCTTCAACAGTAGGCAGCAAATACTTAGAAGATGAAGTAATAACTGGAAGAAAGAACATGTGAACGAGTGGTCAGAAGGATGGATGGCTAGATGAATCACAGGATCAATGGAAGAAGCAGGGACATCAATGAATGTACGGATGGATGGATGGAAGGATAGATATATGGAAGGAAGCATATATGGATGGATGGTGGGTGGATGATGGTAACATGGATGGCTAGAAACATGGATGACTAGAAATATGGATGGCTGGATGGATGGTAAATGGATAGATGGATGGGTGGAAACATGGATGAATGGATAGATGGGTGGATGGATAGATGGAAATATGGATGGATGGATGCTGGATTGGTAGATGAATATCTCGTTACTGTACAGATAGTCAAGGTTTTTGATATATGTATGTATGGTTAGAAAGCTGGGTAGATAGCCAGGGGTGGTGGCACATGCTTTTAATCCCAGCACTCAGGAGGCAGAAGCAGGCAGATTTCTGTAAGTTCAAGACTAGCCTGGTCTATATAGTGAGTTCCAGGCCCCAGCTGGGACTACAGGAGACCCTGTCTCAAGAAGACAAAAAAAAACCAAAAAAACAAAAAAAGAAAGGCTTGGTAGATGAATGAAAAAGAGATGGATGGCCAGGTGAGAGGGCAGATACCTTTAATTCCAGAACTTGGGAAGTAGAGGCAGGTAGATCTCTGTGAGTTCTAGGCCAGCCTGGTCATATGTGTGTGTGTGTGTGTGTATGTATGTATGTATGTATGTATATATAATGAGTTCTACACTAGCTGGGCTACACAGTGAGACCCTGCCTCAAACAAAACAACAAACAACAACGAAAAGGATAGGCAGCCTGACTCCTGAGTGGTTTAATGGGAGAAAGTCATAGTAGACATTTATGTAAATGACCAAAGGAAAGGACTCATATTTCTGTCCTTGCCACACTATCATAGCAGTGATTGATTACTTTGAGGGTACACTAATTACCCAACATGGAACAAAGTCATCACCAGTTTAGTGCCAGCCACACATACATAGCACTTTGGCATGACATCATCTGTCTTCACAATTCTATAGAGTGAGTATATCTTTTGTTTTCTAGGTGAAGAAACTGAGGCTCAGTGACTTTCCCTAAGTCAACTTATGATGAAGAGGAGGAAACAGGGCTAATCCCAGCCAGCCCTCTGGACTCCTGTACTTTGAAACAGCTGCCAGTCCATTCATCCAAACATCTAGAAAGGTGGCCCCACGGGGTCTTTCTGAGAAGCTACCATGTGCCAGGCACTTGCTGTATCCCTTCCCCCATTCTTCAGTGGTGGCATTACACCACGCTGCTACCCTGCGTCTGACATGGAGCCACCTGATGCACATGAGGAGATCCAACGTACCCAGGAGATAACGGATGTTCACTGAAAACTAGCAGACCTGATGCATCCAGACCCAGGTGACCCTGGCCACATACTCACCGGAAAACAAGGGGCAGATCTTCTCCCAGCAGGTGATGCCCCCTTCCGAGGTGTACTGGCCTATGATGACCTCCAGGAAAAACACAGGCAGGCCACTCCCAAACAGGAAAATAAAATACGGTATGAGAAACGCACCTGAGGAGTGAGTAGAGGGACAAGGGTGAGGATGTGGCTATTTCAGGATCGGGGCTCAGTGCTCCCTCCCAATCCTTCCCAGTCAAATAAATCAGAGAAGGGAGGGATGTGAAGGTAGAGGCCAAACTTAGCTGAAGATTCCCTAGGTCCACATCTTCTACTGGGGGTGGGTGCTAGGGGAGAAAGGGGAGGCAAGACATCAGAAAGGGTGGGTCCTACCTGTGTTCACTAATGGCTTCAGCAGGTCTGTAAACCCTGTGAAATTGTGGGCACCTTGGGTCTAGGCTATCTATTTTGTTCTGGGGAGCATCTAAGGCACTCATAAGTCCCCAGGGGGCTGATACCTATGAGAGGTCAAGAAACCAGGTGCTAAGAGAGGGTTGCCCAAAAAGTGGTTCTCCTACCACAGCAGCACACCCCCCTCTGTAGACAAGAGATGGGTAGTAGCTACCTACCTGTTTCTCCTTCAGTCTCTCTTTGTACCTGCAAGAAAGTCTCTAGCAGGTGCTGCCTGATCTTGAGACCTCACTGAGAGCCATCAGCAAGGAGAAACAACACACACACACACACATGCCCCTATTCAACCCTCCAGAACTAGATTCAATCTCTCCCACTCAAGCCTTGGCATTATGGCAAATGATGTTGGTTTTGCATTTATGGAAGGATACCAAATTGCTTTGGGGACTTTATAGGGTGAGGATAAAAAAGCAAAAAGCAAAATAAAGGAAGATAGGAAAGAAAGGTTTTGAGAACCTGTTCACCTGGTGGCCATCTTCCCATTCTGGGACTAGGCTGCCAGAGAGCTTAACTAGCCTGACAAGTGTACTTCTCGCTATTCATCAAAGAAACTTCTTTTTGTAATGAATGGAAACCGTTACAGAATACCACAACTGGTCAAACATAGAGAATAAGTGTCTTGGAGGTGTCCAGCCCTAAGTGACACATCTGCAATGCAACCTCTACATTGCTCAGGGAATATAGTGGAACAGGGGGCAGAAAGAATATTCATGCATCTCTCAACTCTCACCAGCAAAGCTTCCTCATATAACAGATGACAACTAACCCAGAAAACCACAGCTGGCCGAAGTACAGAGAAAAAGAGACTGCAGCATGCTTATCGCTGAGCAGGACACCTATATCAAACATATGCCATACAGGGCTCAGGGAGCATTATGGAAGAGAGGGCTAGAGAGATTGTAACAATCTGTTTTCTTTAAGGGTGTGACACTAAATAGATTAACCAGGCTCCAGTGGATGGACCCACATTTGGAGACATGTTTGACTTGATAGGCCTTAATATAAATGACAGAGTACATGAAATGTGGCAGGGGGGCTTTAAGGGGGTACAGATAGGAGAGGGGTTCTATATAGGATAAAAATATATGAAATTTGCAAAAGAAACGTTTTGAGGAGCACAGAAGTGGACTGTAGGAAGCGGGGAGCATGAATATGTGAGGGTCATGGGTCAGAGGGTAAACTAGAGGCTCAGAGGTGAGGGAGGGATCTCCAGAAGGTAGCACAGTCAGAGGCTGACAGACCACCCTGTTCTCAGTCATGCTGACCTGGTCTCTAAGGTTAAAGTGGGACAGAACAGGGGTGCAGCAAGCCGGCCTGGGGAAGGAAGCAGGGTGCGGACAGATCTATGCTCTGACCCCAGCCTTCACTTCCAAAGCCACTACCAGCTCCTGAGAGGCTGCAACTTGACCCAGACTCACCTCCACCATTTTTGTAGCAGAGGTAAGGGAAACGCCAGACATTGCCCAAACCCACAAAGCCTCCGGCCACGGACAGCACAAAGTCAATCTTGCTGGACCACTTCTCCCTCTGAGGGGGCTTCCCTTCTGCCTCATCCTCAGGACGTGTGCCTGGGCTCTTCCCTGGTGAGGGCTTCAGGATGTCTTTGTGGAAGTCTTTCAAGCACTGTAGCTTTTCCTTGGTGGCCATTTCCTCGTTTTCTACAGGGGACAGAACAAGGTGGGTGAGAAGGACCAGCACTCCTGTGTAGACCAGCTCCTACCTCCTCCCCAGGCTTCAGCAGGGGCCCACCACCCCATCAGTCCCCAACAACTAAAGCCATCTAGACCCTAGGGATTTGGGGGTTCAGAACTAAGACACTTGAAACCCATAGAAGCAACAGATTCCATTTCCCAGACACGTACTAAAAGCACAGGGGACCCCAAGATTGCCCCTGAAGGTCACATTTCATTGGGCCAGCATCTTAATGCTGGCATCACCTTTCACACCCCAACATGTGTACCCCGGGCAGCTCTAGACACCCTTTATATAGCCTACCTGCAGCTCTCCACACCAAAACATACAACTTTTTTTTTTAATGCATATGAGTGTTTTGCCTGTATGTATGTAAGAGCATCTTGTGTGCATTGCCTGCAGAAGCCAGAAGGGGGTGTTGGAACTTCTAAAACTGGAGTTCAGGACAGTTGTTAGCTGCCATGTTGGTGCTAGGAACTGAACCAGGATTTTCTGCAAGAGCAGACAGTGCTCTTTCTTAACTGCTGAGCCATCTCTCCAACACCAAGATAATGCTTTCTAACTTGGAGTCTGCACAGAAAACAGCAGCTAGAATCTCAGTAAAGCCTTGGCCTGGATCCTGGTATGGGACCTGGCCCACGGGAAGCGCCCACTCCTGGGTGAAGAAATAAAGCAGGAAGATGGCATGGTCTGCTCAAGACATGATACTAGAAAATGAGCTTCATCATCAGAGTATAGAAAATGGACGTTTATGAAATGTGTTCGTAGCAGGAAAAAAAAAAAAGTTCACTGAGAATTACGCAAGGACACTTGGTAGCTGAGGGTATGGTGCAGGGGAAGAGGGCTTCCCAAGCGTGTATAAAGAATGCCTCGGTTTCATCCCCAGTGCATGAAAGCAGGGCTTGTTACTCTCCATTCTTTTCCCCTGCTGACTCCAGGGTAATGCCCTGGACCCTGTCAGCAGGACACCTTGGCCATAAGGAGGCCTCCTAAGCCCTGGCACAGTTCAGGCTTACCCTCAGGCCACTCCTGCTTGGAACCCACTTTGGGGAGGCTGAAGTGCAGCCTCTTCTCCCAGTACCCCCTCTTGTCACTGGAGCTTAGCCCTGAGGGCCACTGTCACATCCCGTGTTGGCAACAGTTCACGTAGGAGGTACCATTAAAGAACAGGTAAGTGGACTGGAGATGACTCCTGGGTTAAGAGCATTTACTGCTCTTCCAAAAGATCCAGATTCAGTTCCCAGCACCTGTATGGTGGCTAACAACCATCCATAACTCCAATTACAGAGGATCCAACACCTTTTTCTGTCCTCTATGGGAAATGCATGCATGTGGTACATTTACATGAAGGCAAAACACTCAGACACATAAAATAAAAATAAATAGAATATCTTAAAACAAAACAAAAAACAGCTAAGAGGAACAAAACAATTCAGACCCCACCGACAAAGCCAGGTCTGTTGTGTGATAGGGTTCACCCACAGGTAGTAGAGGACCTCGGAATAGGGCTGAGATGGGGGTCCTATCTGCCCTTTTTTAAGCTCCAGTTTCCCTACCTGCAGAATAAACCAAATGACAGCAAAAAGTATCCATCCATCCATGCATCCATCCATCCATCCAGGGACAACCTTGTCTGTCTTCATGAATCAGGTGTGTAGTAAGTGCCGAAATAGCAGATTTCAGAAGAAAAGTTAATACTTCCATTCTCTTACAAAATGGGACTTCTGGGCCTGTGCTCCTCACATGGATACTGGCTGGAGTAGATGTGGGGCACAACATTGGCAGCTCATGCTCTCTTGGAGGACACCCACACCCAGCCAGCTGTTAATTGACCTTTAACAGCAGCCCCTGAGAAATCAGCTGTTCACACTTCAGTTTCCTCCCTCACAGGCACAAGGACCTGTCCTATCCATAGCTCTGAGCCTGGCACCATGCCTTACACATGGTAGGGCATCAGGTAAGTGCTGCTGGGTCAACAAAACCTCAGCCCCAAGGGGAATATAGCCAGGCATCTCAGGAAGCCCAGAGAGAGTGCTGGAGACAGTGGGGTGTGCTGAGGTGACTTGCCATGCCCCTGGGGGGCTGCACTACGGAGGAGTGACCCCAAAGCTCAGCAACTCACTTCCCCCACACCTCCTTCCTCCCACTGGCTGGCTCGGGGTGGGGGACCCCGATTGTTTCACTATCTGGCAGGGAGCAGACCAAGAAAGGCTTCCTGGAGCCGCCAGGCAGCCCCCGGAGCCCTTCCTCTGTCTGGGGGAGCATCCGCAAGGCCTTTCTCTGTGGCTCCCCCGGGGCCCAGTGGCTAGGCAGGCCCACAGCCACTGTGAAAACAGCCCAGGCGGCCAGCATTGTTCCTGCAGCAGGTCAGCAGCCCCCGATGGTTATCTGAGCAGCTCATTGTGGGCCTGTGGTGGGCGCATAATTGGAGGATGTGAGACTCCTGCTCCCTCCCAGGGAAGGGGCTGCTCAGGAATGACCTGAAGCCTCCGGCTGAGAAGGGCCGGTCCTCCCTCTGGACACGTCTTGGTCCTTGGAGGACATCACAAGGTCAGCCTGGCCTTTAAACTTAATAGGGAAGGAGAGGTGCCAGTCTGCAGTGGGGGGGGGGGGATGGAAGGGGGGAAAGGTCTCTCCACCTCACAGGCAGCTACCACTAACCAAGGTTGGTCCTATTAGAAACCAAACTCTTCTGCCCTGTGACTGGCCTAACAGCCCTGGCTCCACCTTCTGGGTCCCTAGACCCACTAATCACACTGTACTCAGAGAACTCTCTAGAAATGTGGGAAGAGAGAAACAATTGGGATTCCCTAAGACCCCTGGCTCCAGAATGTCTTGCTATGTAAGGATTCCATCCCTTGACACCTATCCAGGATAGCTGGGGGCCTAAGTGATATGGAGAACAGGACGACCCGTCCTGTGCCTGGCACTATGGGTTCTCCCTGGGGACTTCTCAGGCACAAGCAGAAATGTAGTCCTGCCTCACCATCACCTCTCCCACCGGTGGGGGTGCAGTCCAAGCCCACTTGCCTTTGGAGAACTCAGGATCCAGAGGATCTGCCTTGGCATCACCCCTGCCCCCCCAGGACCTGCCTTTGCTCCTCAAGCCTCAGGCTGATTACAAACCACACTGAATAGGAAAGAGCCTCAGACACCACATAGACACAGGTACCCCTGCCCCATCTCTCTCTTGGGCTGTCATTCAAAGCCCTTCTGGGGTGCCTGACCAGCCTGGCCCTGCAATATACCATTCCAGCAAGCCTGGCAGATCTGCTCTGCACATTCTTGGCATCCACCCCCAGCTCCCTGTCACCATGGCAACTTTCACTCCAGGCCAGCAGCCCCTAGCACAGGCATCTGCAGCAGCCTTCCCAAATGTCTCCTTGCTGCTCTGCTGCCCCCAGTCTATTCTCCAAGTGGCAGCTGAAGGCAGCTTAAAAACCACACTCTAATCAGACCCAGCCCTCAGCTCCTTCCTGGGAAACAGGCTGGGTCAAGTCCCAGCAAAACCTTCACTGACCCTCAGGCTCCATCCCTCACATGGGACACTGGCCCCACAGGATTGCTTTAATTCCTCCCCCTCCCCAGGCAGGCTGCTCCAGGCCCTCTGAAGGCAGCTTAGTCCCTATAAGAAACATGACCACACGAGCCCTGACCTGGGGGCCACTTAAAAGGACTGGGTGACATCAAGCAAATGGTTCAACCTTTCTAGTTTTCAGAGTCTTAATCTGAGAAGTGGGAGCAGTAGTGCCTGTCATGGGGTGCTGTGGCAGTGAAATGAGGAGGTGAACAGACTAGCTCAGAACAGCACACAGCATGCAACAAGCACTCCCTAAATAGCAACTGCTGTAATTATCAACAGCCTCATGGTGAGCAAGGCCTTCATCCCACTCAGGGAGAAATGAGCAAGGTCCAGATATTCTGGGGTCACTGGACTGAGCTGATAATCACAGATCCTATGCAGCTTTGCCTCGGCCCTTTGGTTTTTGCCTCCGACAACTCTCTGCATTGCCTGCCTCACCTTCCATGATGCCTCCCTGAGGTCTTTCTCTGTAGATTCCCAGTTAGGCTGGTTAACCCCTACCACATCATGGTGTTGTCAGTCCCCTTGCACTGGCTGCCAGCAGCCTGCTTCCTGAGACAGGAGCTATTTCTCTTGGCTTTGGGCCCAGTGCTATTCTGCAGCGATAGAGATGCTTAATTCCCATTTGAAGAGCTTCCTTCTGGTTATGGGTGAGTAGAATGCACAGGGTTCCAGGCTCCAGGACATACAGCTCAAAGTGCCCCCCCTCCAAGGGTAGCGACCAGATCCAGCTGTGCCTGAATGCCAGCTTGCACACGGATCACCTGGGCAAGTTTTGGCACACACAAACCATGCTCAACCCGGTGCCAAGACAGATACTCCTGACTTCCTGACCAGTTTAAAAACATCAGAGATTTGAGTACTTAGTCTGGGCTGAGCTATTTAAGTGTTCTGTCATCACTATTTTGGATGAGGGAGGTATGTAGCAAGGGGAACACAAGGCCTCATGTATCCCAGGCTGGACTTGAACTCACTATATAGGGAGGATAAGCTTGAACTTCTGATCTTCCTGCCTTCACCTCCTGAGTGTTGGGATTACTGCCTGGTTTATGTGGTGCTGGGGTTCAAACCCAAATGTACATGCAGGCAAGTGGTGAACTGCACCATAGCCCACAGAGAAATTTAACATGTTTCCACAGGACAGAAGCAGAGGCGCAGACAGGAAAGAGAACAGCCTTAGGCCGTACGCAGGGGCAAGGACGGAGCTTAGGCCACACACAGGGGCAAGGACGGAGCTTAGGTCATACACAGGAGCAAGGATGGAGGCCAAATCCCTACCTTGCCTCGTACCTACAGTGTGAAATACAGACTGGAAATGTCTACTGAGCATGTAGCTACCAGGCCAGAGAGATGGCCTCCCCAGTACAAAGCCACTAGGCTGGG